CTGCAGTTTTCTCTTCAGAATCTCCCAAGAGCACAAGTGTCATCACAAAGAGCAACTGTGACAAATCACTCTATGTGTTTATTCTTTATCTTTTAACTCCACGACTCTTGCAAGACCTCGCATTTACTTCCTCTTACAACCCCATCTATAAATATATTTAAACAACCACGGTGACATCACACATCCTTGTCTAAGGCCTACTTTTACTGGGAAAATAATTTTCCCTCTTTCCTACATACTTTTTAACTTGAGCCTCACTATCCTCGTAAAAACTCCTTGACTGGCTTTCAGTAACCTACCTCCAAACACCATACACCTGCAACATCTGCCACATTCCCCCCCTATCACACCCTGTCATACGCCTTTTTACAAATCCAAAAAATGCCACAAAGACCTCTTTAGCCTTATTTAAATACTGTTCACTTATATGTTTCACTGTAAACACTTGGTCCACACCCCCCCCCCCCCCCCTTTCCTAAAGCCTCCTTGTTCATCTGCTATCCTATTCTCCGTTTTTACTCTTAATTCTTTCAATAATAACTACCATACACTTTACCAGGTATACTCAACAGACTTAACCCCCTATAATTTTTGCACTCTCTTTTGTCCCCTTTGCCTTTATACAAAGGAACTAGGCTGGAATATTGCTGCACTCTAACAGCACCTTTCAAGGCAGGTGAAATTGCCGACCTAGAAAATGTACAGAGAACTTTCAGGGCGCGCATAACGGAGATAAAACACCTCAATTACTGGAGCGCTTGAGGTTTCTAAACCTGTATTCCCTGGAACGCAGGAGGGAGAGATACATGATTATATACACCTGGAAAATCCTAGAGGGACTAGTACCGAACTTGCACACGAAAATCACTCATTACGAAAGCAAAAGACTTGGCAGACGATGCACCACCCCCCCAAAATGAAAAGCAGGGGTGTCACTAGCACGTTAAGAGACCATACAAAAATGTCAGGGGCCCGAGACTGTTCAACTGCCTCCCAGCACACATAAGGGGGATTACCAACAGACCCCTGGCAGTCTTCAAGCTGCACTGGACAAGCACCTAAAGTCAGTTCCTGATCAGCCGGGCTGTGGCTCGTACGTTGGTTTGCGTGCAGCCAGCAGCAACAGCCTGGTTGATCGGCGCTGATTTCCCCCAGGAGGCCTGGTCACAGACCGGGCCGCGGGGGCTTGACCCCCGAAACTCTCTCCAGGTAAACTCCAGGTAATGCTCTCTTGCCCCTCCCTAGGTACCTTACCCTCTCCATACATTTACTAAATAATTGCAACCAACCACTCCAAAACTATATACCCACCTGCTTTTAACATTTCTGTCTTTATCCCATGAATCCTGGCTGCCTTACCCCCTTTCATTTTACCTACTGCCTCACAAACTTCCCCCACACTCACAACTGGCTTTTCCCCCACTCCTACAAGATGTTATTCCTCCTTGCCCTATACACGAAATCACAGCTTCCCTATCTTCATCAACATTTAACATTCCTCAAAAAATTCCTCCATCTTCCCAATACCTCTAAATCCCATTTAATAACTCTCCTCTCCATTTTTAAAATGACAAATCCATTGTTTTTCTAGGCTTCCTTAACTTGTTAATCTCACTCCAAAACTTTTTCTTATTTTCAACAAAATTTGTTGATAACATCTCACCCACTCTCTCATTTGCTCTCTTTTTACATTGCTTCACCACTCTCTTAACCTCTCTCTTTTCTCCATATACTCTTCCCCTTGCATCACTTCTACTTTGTAAAAACTTCTCATATGCTAACTTTTTCTCCCTTACTACTCTCTTTACATCATTCCACCAATCGCTCCTCTTCCCTCCTGCACCCACTTTCCTGCAACCACAAACTTCTGCTGAACACTCTAACACTACATTTTTAAACCTAAATGTTCATCACGACTCAAAAAATAATCAAGCTTTACATTCTTTATATTATAGTTGTAGATGCCAGTTGATCTAAAAATGTGTGGAGAGGGTTGACTAACCATGTACAATACCTGCATCAACATGACAAGCAGTTCTAAAACTATTAGCACCCACAACCTACTGCCATTATGACACCCACCAACATCTGTAAAAATACCACATATTACCAGCCGTAATACAAGATTTCTTGATAAATCAACATGTCTGGAGTAATAATCCTCATGAGTGCAAGAGATTCCAAGAAAATATGAAACAATGATCAAAATAATAATAAATCTTCTCAGGTTATCACCATGCACTGTTGGTATTGTTGGGTTTAAGGGTTATGACAGATCAAGAGGGTGTGTCCATCTCACTGCTATGAAACTGACTACCGGAACACTGAGTGTGAGCAAGGTAACATTTATGAAGGGATTCAGGGGAAACCAGTTAGCTAGAATTGAGTCCTGGAGGTTGGAAGTAGTGTCTGCACTCTGACAGAGAGGTATGGATGTTGCAGTTTGGAGGGGCTATCCAAACTGTCATGTCAGCATGCTTCTGGCCAGACAGTGACTGAGTGAAGGTGAGTTTTTCCACTCACTCACTCTCTCTCTCTTTTTGTCACCCTCCATTGGTGGGAGATGGCTGACGTGAAAAAAAAAAAAATACAGCACAGTTTATTACTAGGAGCATATCAGGAGCATTAGGTTTGTAGACAGCAACTATCCAGGGAGGTACTACCGTCCTGCCAAGTGAATGTAAAATGAAAGCCTGTAATGGTTTTACATGATGGGATTGCTGGTGTTTTTTTTGTCTCAAACAAGATTTCAGGTACGTCTTGGTGCTTCTACTTACACTTAGGTCACGCTATACATACATGTACACGTTTTTGTATGCACACTCACCTGAGTTTTCTTTGATTTTATCTTAATAGTTCTTGTTCTTATTGCTTTCCTTTTATATCCATGGGGAAGTGGAATAAGAATCCTTTCTCCATAAGAAATGAGTTGTAAAAGTCAACTAAAATGCAGGGAACAATGGGGTAGTAACCCCTTTTCCTGTATAGCCTACTAAGAAATCTGTTAAAGTGGGATGTTTGAATGTGCATGGATGTTGTGCGAATGATAAGAAAGAGGTGACTGCGGATGCTACGAATGACAAGAAGCTGGATGTCCCAGCTTTAAGTGAATCAAAGCTGAAGGGAGGGGGAGAGTTTCAGTGGGGAGAAATAAATGGGATTAGGTGAGGGGTTTTGAATACAGTTAGAGCTAAAGAAGGAGTAGCAATAATGTTGAAGGATAAGTTCTGGCAGAAAAAGAAGGAATATAAATGTATAAATTCAAAGATTATGTGGAGTAAAATAAGGGTTGGATGTGATAAGTGGGTTATCGTATGCATTGATGCACCTGGGGAAGAGAGAAGTGTAGAGGAGAGAGAGAGATTTTGGGAAATGTTGAGTGAGTGCATGGAAAGTTTTGAACCAAGTGGGAGAGTACTTGCGGATGGGGATTTCAATGCTAAAGTGGGTAAAAATGTTGTGGAGGGAGTAGTAGGTAAATTTGGGGTGCCAGGGGTAAATGAAAATGGGGAGCCTTTAATTGAGTTATGTGTAGAAAGAGGTTTGATAATAAGTAATACATATTTTATGAACAAGAGGATAAATAAATAACAAAAAGGCACAATACCGTGACTGGAACGATACACAAATAACCCGCACATAAAAGAGAGAAGCTTACGACGACGTTTCGGTCCGACTTGGACCATTGACAAAGTCACACTAACAGAGGTGGAGCAGGATGGCTATATATAGGCAGGAAGAGGTGGAGGTAGTAGTAGTAGTAGTAGTACAAGAATTGTATATAATACCGACCGGATGAAATGACATATGCACAACACCCGGGCATCCCCATCGTAGACGTAGTGACTTTGGGTGTTGTGCATATGTCATTTCATCCTGTCGGTATTATATACAATTCTTGTACTACTACTACTACTACTACTACTACCTCCACCTCTTCCTGCCTATATATAGCCGTCCTGCTCCACCTCTGTTAGTGTGACTTTGTCAATGGTCCAAGTCGGACCGAAACGTCGTCGTAAGCTTCTCTCTTTTATGTGAGGGTTATTTGTGTATCGTTCCAGTCACGGTATTGTGCCTTTTTGTTATTTATGGACCCCGCAGTTAAGCGTCATATTCTCTCCAACTTTTTTAATGTTCTTCCCTCTTTTAAACCCCTCTTTCGATCTCATGAGGCTGCTCTTATTGCTACCCGGCGTCGTAAGAATCAGCTTCGCTTCCTACGTGACTGTCTTGCTGAACAAGTTCTGCCACCTTCCTTCTCCCACTTCCTGAAAACCAACCCACTGGACACTCCCTTTCCTGATCATGCCCGTCTCCTACTTCAACAGCTCATTCTTTCTACTAAATCACAGGTTGAAGATGCCTTCTTTACTCTCCGTCAACGTCAACGTGCTCTCTTTGCGGCTCTACCACAGGATCTCTGTAACCTTCTCTCTACCATTGCCTTTGACACTGCTCGCCTGAATGCACAAATTCATTCTTCCAAACTACAAAATAAACTTCAACGTCTCATCTCAGCTAGCCCTTGGTCTAAATTCTCCCTCACTGACTATGTTACTAATCTGTCTTCTGTCTCACTCTCTCAATATGAGCTTGAACTTCTTGGTTTTGGTCTTTCCTTTGCCACTTCGCCTACTCCTCGCGCTGGTATTTCCCTGATTAGCTCTTTTGATTCCTTTCGTCAATCTCGCTTCCGTAATCTTCCTGACTTGTCCACTTTTCGTGGTGCTCTCCTTCCTGCTCTTGTTAGTCTGTTTTCCAAGAATCACCACCTTCCACGCCGTTACCAACTTGCCCTTTCTTCTCTTAAATCTAACACTAACATTGTCATACTATCTTCTGACAAAGGTAATTCGGTAGTTATCCTTGATCGCGAGGATTACCTCCGTAAAGCTGATGTCTTGCTCTCTGACTCACGCACCTACACTCCTCTCGTTTCCAGCCCTCTTGATCGCATCAAGAGAACTTTCAACAAAAAACTAAGGACTCTCTCCGACCTCTGTCCTCCTGACTTTGACCTTGTTCAACGGTTTCGTGTCATCTGTCCCTCTCTTCCCTATTTCTATGGCCTTCCCAAAACTCATAAACCTGATATTCCTCTTCGTCCTATCATATCCTCTAGAGGTTCTGTCTCTTATTCTCTTGCTTCTTGGCTGGCCAAAACCCTCACTCCCTTTCTTGGTACTTTTTCTCCTGCCCACCTCCGTCACTCTCAAGACTTCATTGAACGGGTTCGCTCTCTCCCAACCTGTAAGATGCTTAGTCTTGACATTGAGTCCCTCTTCACCAATGTCCCTCTTGATGATGTCCTTGATTTCCTTAGAGAGAAGGCCCATGAAGGGTTTCTTCATTTCCCTATCCCCACTGATGTCTTTCTTGATCTGATCCGCCTCTGTGTGGACTCTAACTCCTTTTCCTTCCAAGGGAAATATTATTCTCAAACCTTCGGTGTCGCTATGGGCTCTCCTCTCTCTCCTGTCCTAGCTAATCTTTACATGGAATACTTCGAGACTGTTTATCTTCCTACCATCGATGTGCAACCTTCACTCTGGCTCCGCTATGTGGATGACATCTTTGCTCTGTGGCCTCATGACTCCAGTCTCTTCCAACCTTTTCTTGAAGCTCTTAACAATCTTGCCCCTTCCATTAAGTTTAAAGCTGAATGGGAATCTAATTCCTTACTTCCTTTCCTTGATGTCCATGTCCACCGCTCAGAAACAGGTTTTTTCTTTTCCGTTTACCGTAAACCTATGCACAGTGGCATGTACATTCACTACTTTTCCTATCATGCTTCCCCTGCCAAGAAAAGTGTTCTTATCTCCCTCTTTCTCCGTGCCCTCCGCATCTGTGATCCTCAGTTCCTTCCAGCAGAAATTTCCACTCTTCATAATTCGTTCTCCCGTCTTGGCTACCCTTCCCATTTCATAGACTCTGCCCTCTCACGTGCTAAACGCAATTTCTTCTCTCCCAAACTCTCTACTCATGGGAACTCTTCTATCCTCTGCCTTCCCTACATTTCCGGTCTTTCTAATCTCAACAATTCTCTCCGTCCCTTAGACATCAAGCTTACCTTCCGCCAGACTAACACTCTTCGCACTAATCTCGTTCATACCTCTCCTCCCTCTACAGATGTTCCTGGTGTCTACTCTATTTCTTGCTCCTCCTGTCCTCTTCAATACTTCGGAGAAACTGGTCGATCTCTTTCTGATAGACTTAGGGAGCACAAAAATAGTGTTAGGCTTGCCGACACTAACAATGCTCTTTTCTGTCACGTCAGAGATCATAGCCATCCTATTGACTGGTCTTCTGCTAAAACTGTCTTCCCTACTTCCAACTCGAACAGTCGCCGTTTAGTTGAATCCTCTCTTATACACAACTTTCCTTGTATGAACCTCAGCCCTGGCTTCGTCTCTGTAGATGCCTTCCTCTCCCACTACATTGTAAAATGCTCCAAACTTCAGAACACCCATGACTTAACCTGAATCCTCATTTTTTCTTCTTCTTCTTCTTCTTCTTCTTCTTTTTCTTCTTCCTCTTCCCCTTTCCTCTCTCCTTTTCTCCTCTGGGTTGTCTTTCTCTCTCCTGTCTCGTGTTTCTGTTCCTTCTTCATTTATTTTATTTCACCACTTCCCCTTTCACGCACCTCGGTGCGCTTGCTCTCCCTCTGTGGGTTTCTAGCTCTCTTGCAGTGCTCCCCTTCCTTTGTATTTGACTGGCTCGTCTTCCTTATTTCCCACTTCTACCACTACCACTACTACTACCTCTTCTTCTTCTACTACAACTACTGATGAAATTAAGACACATGTGCGGCGTCTGGTTGTCTTTGTTGTGGACGTTTCGCCATCCAGTGGCGGGCTGGATGGCGAAACGTCTACGGTGGGGATGCCCGGGTGTTGTGCATATGTCATTTCATCCTGTCGGTATTATAAACAATTCTTGTACTACTACTACTACCTCCACCTCTTCCTGCCTATATATAGCCGTCCTGCTCCACCTCTGTTAGTGTGACTTTGTCAATGGTCCAAGTCGGACCGAAACGTCGTCGTAAGCTTCTCTCTTTTATGTGCGGGTTATTTGTGTAAGAGGATAAATAAGTATACAGGGTATGATATAGCACGTAATAAAAATAGTTTCTTAGATTTTTTTTTTTATCACACTGGCCGATTCCCACCAAGGCAGGGTGGCCCGAAAAAGAAAAACTTTCACCATCATTCACTCCATCACTGTCTTGCCAGAAGGGTCCTTTACACTACAGTTTTTAAACTGCAACTTTAAGACCCCTCCTTCAGAGTGCAGGCACTGTACTTTCCATCTCCATTACTCAAGTCCGGCCTGCCGGTTTCCCTGAACCCCTTCATAAATGTTACTTTGGTCACACTCCAACAGCACGTCAAGTATTAAAAATCCATTTGTCTCTATTCACTCCTATCAAACACGCTCACGCATGCCTGCTGGAAGTCCAAGCCCCTCGCACACAAAACTTCCTTTACCTCCTCCCTCCAACCTTTCCTAGGCCGACCCCTACCCCGCCTTCCTTCCACTGCAGACTGATACACTCTTGAAGTCACTCTGTTTCGCTCCATTCTCTCTACATGTCCGAACCACCTCAACAACCCTTCCTCAGCCCTCTGGACAACAGTTTTGGTAATCCCGCACCTCCTCCTAACTTCCAAACTACGAATTCTCTGCATTATATTCACACCACACATTGCCCTCAGACATGACATCTCCACTGCCCCCAGCCTTCTCCTCGCTGCAACATTCATCACCCATGCTTCACACCCATATAAGAGCGTTGGTAAAACTATACTCTCATACATTCCCCTCTTTGCCTCCAAGGACAAAGTTCTTTGTCTCTACAGACTCCTAAGTGCACCACTCACCCTTTTCCCCTCATCAATTCTATGATTCACCTCATCTTTCATAGACCCATCCACTGACACATCCACTCCCAAATATCTGAATACTTTCACCTCCTCCTGGATAAAAGGTTGATGGGTAGGATTCAGGATGTACATGTTTATAGAGGGGGCAACTAAGGTATTGGATCATTATTTAGTTGTAGCTACAGTTAGAGTAAGAGGTAGATGGGACAAAAGGAAAATGGAAACAAGTGAGAGAGAGGTGAAAGTGAATAAACTAAGGGAGGAACAAGTAAGGGTTAGATATAAGCAACTATTGGCAGAAAAGTGGGCATGTGCAAGTATGAGTAATGGATGGGGAGGGGGGTTGAAGAGGGTTGGAATTGTTTTAAAAATGGAGTATTAGAATGTGGGGCAGAAGTTTGTGGTTATAGGAGGGTGGGTGCAGGAAGAAAAGGGAGTGATTGGTGGAATGATGAAGTAAAGGGTGTGATAAAAGAGAAAAAGGTAGCTTATGAGAGGTTTTTAAAAAGCAGAAGTGTTATACAAAGAGCAGAGTATATGGAGAGTATAAGAAAGGTGAAGAGAGTGAAAAAGGCGAGCAGATGATAGAGTGGGAGAGTCACTGTCAAGAAATTTTGATGAAAATAAGAAAAAATTTTGGAGTGAGAAACAAGTTAAGAAAGCCTAGGGAACAAATGGATTTGTTGGTTAAAAACAAAGTAGGGGAGTTAGTACATGGGGAATTGGAGGCATTGGGTAGATGGTAGGAATATTTTGAGCAATTTATGTCGATGAATAATGGGAGGTGGTAATTTCATGCACTGGTCAGGGAGGTATAACATCTTTTAGGAGTGAAGAAGAGCAGGATGCAAGTGTGGGGGGTGCATGAGGTATTACGTAGAATGAAAAGGGGTAATGCAGCTGGAACTGACGGGATCATGGCAGAAATGTTAAAAGCAGGGGGGATATAGTGTTGGAATGATTGGTATTTTTATTTAATAAATGTATGAAAGAGAGGAAGTTACCTAGGGATTGGAGGAGAGCATGTATAGTTCTTTTACATAAGGGTAAGGGGGACAAAAGAGTGTAAAAATTATAAGGGAATAAGTTTACTGAGTACTTTCGTTTTTCTTTTTGGGCCACCCTGCCTTGGTGGGATACGGCCAGTTGGGGAAAAAAAAAAAAAAAAAAAGTTTACTGAGTATGCCAGGAAAAGTGTACGGTCGGGTTATTATTGAAAGAATTAGAGGTAAGACAGAGAGTAGGAATTCTGATGAGCGAGGAGGCTTTAAAGTGGGTAGGGGATGTGTAGATCAAGTGTTTACACATTGAAGCATATATGTGAACAGTATTTAAAGGTAGGGAAGTTTTCATTGCATTTATGGATTTAGAAAAGGCATATGACAGAGTGGATAGAGAAGCAATGTGGCAATGCTACAATTACAGTGGACCCTTGAGTTAAGAACCACTCCCAACATGACAAATTATGTAAGAGTATTTTTGTAAGTGCTTTTGTAAGAATATTTTTGGGGGTTTGATAAAGATTAATCTATTTTACATTATTCTTGAAGAGAGGAAATTCGATCAGTAACAGCACTTGACCAGCCGTCTGGAACGAAAAAGTTCGTAACTCGAGGGTCCACTGTATGTGGAATAGGTAGTTACTAAGTGCTGTAAAGAGCTTTTATGAGGATAGTGAGGCTCAGGTTAGGGGGTGTAGAAGAGAGGGATACTACTTCCCAGTAAAAGTAGGTATGTGTAATGTCACCATGGTTGTTTAACCCTTTGACTGTTTCAGGCCCCTCTCTGAAACTGTCATTCTATGTCGCTCAATTTTTGAAAAAAAAAAAAATTATTTTTTCTTATGAAATGATAGAGAATCTTTTCCCGATGGTAATGACACCAAAAGTTCGAAATTTGGTCGAAAACTCGTGGAATTGGCTCCCGCGAAGTTAGCGGTCTCGGCGACATGTGCGTATCGGCGATTTCGCAGACTTTGAGCCCAATTTTCAGCCAATTCCATTGTTCCAGTTGACCAAACTCATAGCTATTTCTTTAGAACTCCATTTTATCTATCAGCTGAGTACAAGAAACCTCCCATTTACTAATTTGGACTACCCAATATGGTGGTCAGAAATTGGCAATTTGGACAA